GACGACCTCAACGACCGTGCCCGTGAGCTCGCGATTGAACTGAAAGAAGCTGAGCGTGCGAAATTCCTGGACCCGAGGCCTAACGGTGTTCCCATTGCTGACGTCCCGATCGACAGCGATGGGCCCTTCCGAGACATGGAGATACAGAGGCTTTTGTTGTGTCAGGAGCCTATCAAGAATGCAACAGCAATCAGCCATCTTGAAGATGCGATGAACGAGAGAGCCTTGGAGCTTGCGGCTCAAGTGCTGGAAGACGAGCGTGCGTTCCTCGACCCTGCGCCACTTGGTATTCCTCTTCCAGAGCTTCCTCTCGATGAAAATGCGGAGTTCTTGGCAAAGGAGGCCGATCTTCGTGAGCTTATTCGCGATGGTCGGTCGGAAAGTCCTACTGCCAAAGCGTTGCGAAGCGAAATGCTAAAGCTGGCATACGATATTGCCGCCGATGAATTGGCAAGGTTTCGCGCTTCCTACCTTAACCCGGAGCTTGCAGGCCGTTTGGTTGATGAACTTCCATTGAATGCCGATCCGGAGTTTATGAAGTTGGAGAAGCAGTTGCGCCAAGCGATAAAGAATCCCCAAAGCGACCCAAGTGTAATTCAAGCATTGAAAGAGAACTTGAACGTCAGGGCGCTCTTAAAGGCCAAAGAAATGAATAAGGCAGAGCGAAAAGATTACCTTAATCCGCGGCCTTTGGGTGTTGCCGTGGAGGATCTCCCACTAGACACAGATGAAAAGTTTGCTGAACTAGAGGAAGAGCGTGCTCGTCTAAAACGATCACCTCGAAAAAATCACGCACTGATTGCAGACGTTGAGAACGCATTGAATGCTCGTGCGATGGAACTTGCGGAGGATGCGATTCGTCGTAACCGCAGTTACCTGGATCCTTTTCCTGAGGGTGTGCCGTTACAACTGCTGCCGCTTGACACAGATCCCCGCTTTTTAGAGCTGGAGAAACAACGCGTAGCTGCCCTGTCCGCTGAGCCCTTCAGTGCAGAAAAGTTGCGTGATGTGGAAAAGCTTCTCAACGACCGTGCACACGAGCTCGCCGTCGAACACAAGCGGGCAGCTAGGGAAAGATATGTAAATCTAGACGAAGTGTCATTGACGGCACATGACCTTTCCCTCGACACAGATGTCCCCTTCCACGAATTGGAGGCAAGGCGTTTCCAGCTGCTCGCAGAAAATCTGGAGTCGCAGGCTCACCTTGTCAGAGACCTGGAAGAGGCTCTAGGAAAGCGGGTCGCGGAACTGGCGCAAATCCGTCGGGATGAGCAGCGGCAATTTCTCGATGAGTACCCCCTTGGCATCCCACTGTCCTCACTTCCGCTAGATAAAAATGCGGAATTTTTGCAGAAAGAGGCGATGCTGCGACAACTGCGGATGGATCCCCTCAGGGCCGAGGAGGTCGCAGCACTTGAAGACGAATTAAACGCCATGGTGCACGATATGGCCGCGGAGGAGATTGCAAGAAGGTACCCGTACCTCGACCCACGACCGGAAGGTGTATTGCTACGGTATCTTCCGCTGCAGTCTGACCCAAAATTCGCATCACTCTTATGTGACCTCGAAAACATTCAGAGCGTTCCTCAAAAAAACCGAGATGAAATTGAACGTCATATTGCCCTACTCAATGATAGGGCTCATGAGCTTGCCAGGGAAAAGAAATGGGAGGATCGGCAATTCCTCAACCCTGCACCAGAAGGAATCCCATTGACGGAGCTACCCCTTGACGAAGACGCCGTCTTCGCCACTGCTGAGGAAGAACGTCGCCGATTGATGAACCTTCCCGGCACACAGTACACAGAGCAGATTAAAAACTTAGAAAACCAAATGCAAAAAAGGGTAACGGAACTTGCCAAAGAAAAGAAAAACAAGGAATTTGAATTTCTAGACAAGCGCCCTCAAGGAATAGACATCGACACGCTCCATCTCGATGAGGATCCAATATTTAGAGAAACGACACAAAAACTTCGAGAACTTCTAAAACAAGCGGACTCTTCCAACAACGCTGAAATCGAACAGCTCAAGAAAGAAATGCATGACCGTGTACATGAGCTGGCGAAGGAGAGGAAGCTTGCTGAGCGCGCCTTTCTGGACCAGAACCCGGAGGGTGTGCCGCTCAGCGAGCTGCCGCTCGACGAGGACGAGAAGTTCATGGCGATGGAGGAGGAGCGCAGACGGCTGATTGACGAGGACCCACGCAAGAATGCACCGAAGATCGCCTCCCTTGAGAGGGACATGAATGAGCGTGCACACGAGCTGGCGAAGGAGAGGAAGCTTGCTGAGCG